TATGCAAAAGCAATTTTTTTTTAAAATCTGCAAACATACAATCACGAATACCCTTTTTACATTTGCCTTCATACCGGTACATAAGACAAGGGCCGGTTTTAGGCCGATGTGACCAATTGCTCCAATGGGACCCACGTCTGGCAGGGGCCTCGCAATTTACATGAAGTCATAGGCCTATTAATATCAGTCATGTCTCTTGTCACAGACTTGTAAAGATGTAGGACTTATAGGATTAACATATTTTGTGTAGGTCTGGCGTACGATTGACGTAACTTTATTTAACCCACAGTGTCCCACAGGCATCTATTGCGCTTGAGTTGCCTTCTATACCTGTGTTATAACAAATGTTGGTATAATGATATAATTAATAGTAATAGTGGTTATTGTAAAAAAAAAAAAAAAAAAAGAGGGTGGAGCCTAGCAAGTATCCATTAAATTGGGCCCCACAATTCGGCCAGCCATGCATAGAACATGTTAGCACTGTGCAAATACTGGGTTTAAAAAGCTTATATTAACTCACTCTGGCTGTCTGGTAAAAAGTTTTAACATGTTGTTTTTTTCCCCATTTCCCTTACACGGATCAATTTAAAACTTTGGACAATTATTTATTGAACCTGACAAGACATTAACCAATCAAAAATATTAACCAATTTGTCAATTATTTTTGGGTGATTAAGTTTTATGTTTGATATCGAAATAAGGGGAATAAATGCTACTTAATGAGAGATGCGGATGTATATATAGATTAATCCCCTAATGACGCTTTCAAAAGTGTATTTTCATATCTCTCATTCTCGGATCAAGTTGACATTTAGCATAATGATTCATAGTGAATGACAATACACGAATCTTTTCAAAAATTAACGAATTAGTCAATTATTTAGTAGTAATTAATTAATTGTGATTTATAAAGCAGAAAGGGAGCTAAACCTCTTAATTTTCATATAAGTGGCAGTAATTAGCGGTTCTTTTAAAAACCTCGCTTGTATTTATGGAGATTGTATCAATCAATTAGAATCAAGCTTTCTTTCACCGGCTGCACTGCGTGGCAGGACTCCCGTCCCTAAACCTCTCTGTATTACCATGTCATAGGCTATCCTAAAGAGCTATATACTTTACAAAGGGATATTACGTAACGGCTAATTGGGTGTGGGGGGGTAAAAATGTGTTACAATTTGTTACAAGGGAGGAAGGGGCGATCTAAACATTTGTTACGTAACAAAACAAAAAACAAATCAAATGAAATAACAGGTGCAGTAGTAGCTAGACTTTCGCGGATGGACAGCGTTTTTAAAAACCTAACTCTATACACTAGCGAATCAAAAATAGAAATAGAAAAATAGAAAGTAAAAAAAGTGGATGACAGTTCCTTCGTTGATGACAACCAGAAATCATAACTTATGTGAAGGTCAAGGTGACCATGGCTCAGTACTGTAGGAGCTACTGACCTAGATTCAGAAATTGTTAGCTGCTTAACGATGAGCAATGAGAATAAATGTCCAGTACATATACTATACTGGTATCTAAATTTTACGTACCGTAACGAATGTTGTTACAGTAAGTCTGGAGTGGAAATACATTGATGCCCAGGGTTGTCCATGGGACATATTTTTCTATCCCATCCCATAACAATTCATGCCTATCCCACCCCATCCCATGGGATTGCAATTACAATATCAATATGGATTACAGTTCAAATAAATCATTAAATTCATGAAAGCTTGGGTATAGTGTGCAACCACAGTTTTAGTTAGATCCTAGAGCTCATATTTTTGGGCGGCTATTTTGTTGCACTTGCACAACTGCAAATTGCAACCAAAATTTATTTTACAATATTAAGTATCAACTACAATTGGGAAATACAAATGTGTGCTGTCCCATGGTAATAACATTCTTATGGACTACACTGTTAATGCCCCTTCCTAGCTAGCTAGAGGGTTTGGAAAAGACGCTTGGCTTTTTTTTCCCTGAAGTGTCAGAGCGATATCCTGCTTTTTGTTCAAACAAAATAAAATGCAGGTCAAAAATCAAATTTTTATTGATGAATCCCAGCGACCTCGAGGAAAGCAGACCAACGTATGAAATATTTTATTCAAGGGAAGGGAGTGTTAAACTAAACCATTACCATCGGGGAACGCCCATGAAAAATGGGCGTTGCCTGTAGTTTTTTTCTCATGCTTTAGCCTGATTTATAAATGAAGACCAGCGACTGTTAGAAAAACAGATCATTGCATGAAATAATTTATTACTAAGAGAGTTCGCTACAGTTTAAGAACTGCCTAAAATATGACTATGCTGCTTGCGCAATTTCGTGTTGGTAACTAATTTTTAGTGAGCACTCCTATAGACCACCTAGGATCCGCCACTGAGACAAATAATATGGTCTCCTTTAGTCCAGAAGCGACTATGGATCGCCTCAAAGAAATGTTTGGAATTGGCTATGGTTGTTAAGATGTCGCCCAGACAGCAGTTCCTCCCTGCATCTGATATTTCCGAAGAAACGGCATGTGCCGATAAATTTTATGAATTTAGCGGCGTCGCAGACTGTACCCCATGAAGTAGCACTGTGCTGCAAGCTACCTAAAGGTCCCATGCTCCTCCAGAGTGAGATAAATAGACAACTGATTTTAATTTATCTTCAATAAATTACAGACGTTGCTTCAATAAAGATAACTACGTCCTGCGCGTATCCATTGGATAATTTAGCCATGCAAATTAATATGTGAATTTCACTGTGCTGATCCAGACAGCAGTTCCGTGATCTAATGGCACATGGAAGGAGCAATGGTTTGAATTTTTCCTAGTATATGAAATAAGAGATGTGCCTCTTTTTTCTTTGTCGCAGTATTTTACCGTTTTTTATTTTGTAAGTTATTGTTCAGAGTTACGTTTATTAATTTTACTCTAGTTTTTAGCCTCTGTCCTGAAGTGTCTTTAATAGAAACCTTAAGATGGACGGATATACTTATGTATTTTCAGTAGTTACCACTTCATGAAAGGTGTTTCCCTCCCCCCGATTGACACCCTGTATACATATTTAGACCGATTTATTTATTTGGCAGCATCTCTTGGCAGTGCTGTTGGTTCTTGGTAGAAATCTGGCCACAACTTAACAGTTGCTTGAATGGAAGTGTATTTCCTGATACATGTATTCGGTTGTTTGTCGATTAAATCATTCTATGAACGAAGTGGATGGGAGAGCCGCTGATTTACTGTTAATAATTTGATTTTTCTTTACTTACATTATGAGCCCTAGAGATCTTCATTAAACAGGGGAAGTTTACAAAGTTCAAATGATGTCCTTGACCTTCTTGCTTGTATCTTCGTATTGCCAGATTTTTAACAAGACTATTATGAGACCCGTTTATTAAATTTAATTTGCATAGAACGTACGACCCAAAAAAAAAATTGAAACGTTTTAAAATGACACATTGTAGTATCCATAGAACTTTTTGAATTAAAATGTATTTTTAAAACAACGCCAAAGGGTAGCCTAAAGTTATAGATAATAAAGAACATGTTTAAAACAATATCTAGGATTCGATAGGTCCGTGTATAGAAACGGTTTCTCCCCACCCAAGAATACATTTGAAGCGACATAAATTAATACAAGAATCAGGGAGGTTAACCAAAACTGCTGAAAGATCCAGCCCAAAACATTTCATCCAATTGATTTCCCAATAAACAAGGGCATTTTTTTTTAATGTGTGCAGGTTAGAGTAATTGTTCTTGTTGTCCCCTCCCGGTTATTTGTCTATCACTAGTACAGAGAAAGGTAAAGGTGTGATTTCTTGTATTTCCACTGCTGTCTGTCTAAAATGTTCCATTATAATTCGTAAATGACTGTCAAATGTATGCCATATGTGTATATTTAAAACATCATACTGTATTTTGAGCCATCATGAATGACTAAGATACATTTCCTTTACAACAATAGAGCTGACCATTATTATTGGCTCCCTGAATTATTTTGATTAATGTATATATAGATATAACCGAGTTTTTAAAAGTTGATTGTTAGATTTTCCTTTTTTTTAAAAATGTATTTCAATTAGTATATAATATATCAACTTATTTTTTTGTAAGTTGCTTATTTGATTTTCTATTATGTATTATTATTAGAATTAATCTGTATATAATTTATTTTGAAATGATTGTCATGTTTTCTAATATATATTATTATTAGTTTGATTAATATATATATATTAAATTCTAATAAGTTTAATGTTAGATTTTATTTTATCTAAAAGTATTAACCTAACAGAGATAATGAATCATTCTAATTTTTTTTCTTTCTTCATTTAAGTATTGTTTTGCATGTTCTAGCTTTTTTTAATGAATTGTATTACATTTATTTCATATTTTGTTTTGTTTTTAATCAATGAAAATTTTTTTTTAAACATTTAAATTATATTAAAATAATGTCTAAAAAGTCTGTAGTTAATAGATAATGTTCACATTTATAAACAAATATATATAGGCTACAACATTTTGACCAAAAAAAAATATTTTATTTTACAGATCAATTAGCTCAATACATGTAATATCATACATACAAAACAAAAAAAAATGCCATAATCGCTAAACAAAAGTAGAAAACATACATAACTTTTGCATTGTTTAACTTGAAATAACGTAAGATCTTAACATTAGAAATCTGGTGAAGTACACAATGAATATCATACCAAGCATTCTGTAACCATTCACTATCTCTTTAATAACCATTCAATAGCATTTAACACTTTTCACAGTTTTATCCCAAGTTTTCAGGTGGTCTTAAATACACTATGAGAGAGTATGAACTGAAATGAAACACACCCAATTAAGTGAGGTACTCGACAGCCAAAACAACACACCAGGCATACTTCAATAATATTCAGTTCAGACAGCAGCAAAGGCATTCTTAATGATTGAAAATGTCATGTCAAATAGAGACAGCCCTTTCATTCCCAACAGAGATGCACCTAGTCAAGGAAATGGGCCAAAGTTTGTTAATCCTCTTAAGCCAATTTTTTAGCAATTAACAAACTTAATATATATGGCTGCTATGTTGTCTTCTTATGTTGCAGTGTGATACAGCTATAAGGGAAGGTGAAAATCTATGCCACATTTAATAATATATTTATTTGTTTAAACCCTAACACTTTTTTTAAAGAGAGAAATGCGTACATTAAAGAAAAGAGAAAAGAAAAAAATATATATATGTATGTACAAAGGTGAAATGCTCTTCTAGGGAAAAATGTAAACTCAAAGTAACCTGATAACACGCCTTAAATGAAGGCATAAATAGTTTAGTGTCTTGCCTTGTGTCGCCAAACCAGTTTAACAGTAATAATTTAAAAGAGAACATTTGAAATGGCAATATAAATATGCAGGCAACATTAAACTGCTTACATTATGAGGGCCCCAACAAGTGGGCAAGAGAAGTTGTAACATCTATTTAATTTATTGAAATTCAACATTGTGAGATGAAAAGTATCACTTAAAACTACTTTATACCCTCAAGAATTTATTCTCCCAATATGTTTAATTTATAGAAACAGGAGTTAAAATTTAAAGTCTACTAGATTGAATTTTTTTTCTTCATCAAATGGCAAAAAAAAAAAAAAAGGCTGTCAAGTCTACTTTTATAAAAAAGATAAAAGAGAAACTTAAGATAAATGAACTATTTATAACAAAATATATGTTTCTAGTAATTTTAGCATTCAATTTAAATTATTTTTTTCTTTCTAATAGGGATGAAAATGTAAAGTCCAATAAATAAATTTCAATGCAATGGTTTAATAAAAAAAAAAAAAGAATATATCTAAAAATTAATTTACACAGCACAATATCATTATCAAGCAGTCACTAGTTTCTAATAAATAAAATGATATGTATAAAGAGTACAATACAGATGGAATTTTTTCAATATGAGTTTTGAAATAAATCATTGAAACAAAAATTAATCTGCCTTTTAAAGTCCTAAGATTTATGGTGACTTTAACTCTATAATTGTAAAATACTTTGAAATGAATATAAAAATCTATGAAACAGAATTCTCATCTATAGGTAACTTTGAGTTTAATAAGAAAACAAAACTTTTTTTAATTAGTGTGATATGGTAAGTCACATAGCTCCTTAAGGAGTTTGAAATTTTTAAGAACTGTTGGTTTCAAGAAATCAAGCATTTCAACTAAGCTGTGACTACTACTTTCAATATAATTTTGTACTCAGCAGGCCAATTAGTACCATAAACACTAAAGTACTAGGAAAGTGAAGCTAAATAAGCCTACCGGAGCAAAAAAGAAAAAAAACAGTATAAAAATGTGGCACTAAAGAAAACAAGTTTTGTTCACAATATAACAAAACCATTTTCATTATATTGCACTTGTTGAACTTAACAGTATGCAAATAATTTTGAGTATAGCAAGGCCTGAGGCAGAGAGCAAATAAAAATCAAGAAATTAATTTCTAGTGCATACTATTTACACCAAAAAAAAAATAGAAGCAGAATGTTATATAAAACCTAATAACAAAAGTATAATGAAACTCAAATGAAATAAGTCAGACAAAAACTAAGTATCACTAAGCACTAAAGTTGACTGAATGTGTCCATCATTCCAAGTCTTTATTAGGTTTAAAGCCCAACAAGTCACAACAATTATTTTGTACTTTTCATTCCTATGAAGGTTATTTCCATTTTTAGAATAAAAAAATCCATGCCCACACACAATTCTTTTTTTCAATCTTGGACTTGTCTGGTAATCTGGTCAGGAATATAGAGTAGATTAGACTACTCTTTGTTGTATATAGATAGTATTCAGATTGTGTGTGATCAGGATGTCAAGAACCTGGAAAAACTCTAGACTACATTTATACAGATGTCTAGGAAGTAAGTAGACTCTAGACAGTCTAGATCTACTGTTGCAAATATTGTCAATTCCATTTTTTTTCTAGAAGATGAAGGGTGTGCTATGATGAAAAATGTTTTGTTATCCAGGAAATGAAACATAGATCTAAACCACAAAGGATAGATCTATACTTATGACGAAAAAACTAGCCCTATAAATGAAAGACGAACATAAGATCTTTAGCTTGATTCCTTGAATCACATATTGAATGAAGAAACTGATGAAATTCCATTATGACATGTCACCTCTCGCTCATACCGATTACTTAAATATTTAGCTGTTTCTGTCATCTGATGTAAGAGTCCAAACAAGCCTCTGAGGTGATATCTGAAAGCTGCGGCAGTCTTTTTGGCATTCTCGCCGATGGGGTCACTTTCATCGACCGAATCGTCTGTGTTATCGCTTTGATCGTCGTCGACGATTGGCAGTGGTCCTGCTATTATTTCCGATCGAATAGCATGTAGCATTGCATAAAAATGGTAAAGATCACCACTCACCGGAATGGCAGGAATGACAGCTTTGTTATTGTTTTCTTCCTGTAAACAAGGTATAGGTATGGATTCTACGGGGATATCCCTCAGGCGGCAAGGAATCATTACTGTGTCGTCCATTAAGTCTACAGCCTGTACGAACCGATTGATTGCAGTCATTAGAGATTGCTGTCCGTCGGCTGATGGAGTTGAGCGTCTTCTGTTGATGTTAGCCATGGTTGATTCTTTGTTCATATGATCGTAGATCTAGTAAACGGTTCTTTAGTTTAATAAACAATGCAAACTGATGTATAAATACACATTGGCTAATCAAGAAGCTCTTCTTCTCACACGTTGCCGGTGGATTGTCAATTTAACTATTGCATACACAAGTAGGACCAGTGGATTTCGCCAATGAGGGTAAAATAGACCAGCTCAACAAGGACTTTGTTCGCAAAGTTGTGTAAAATTATATTAACGTAAACCGTACAAAATTAAATAAATAGTATTTAAACTTTTTATGTTAATATTATTCTTTTTAATTTAATTTTTAAGGATGTTTATCTTATATTATTAACAACAAAAAAGCTAACCACCCCATGAAAAAATAGGACAAACCGACACAAAACATACGAGTAATATGGGGGTCAATGATCTTAGCGCTGATTGGCTAGAAAATATCAGCAGCAAAGGGAGTGACTAGCAAGGACTCGCTGCTAGGCGCTGTCGACTCTGTAGTCAAGGCGTCGAAACAAACTAAGTAAGAATGTTATCAATGATATCCTAGGCCTGCCTGTTTTAAATATATCCAGTCATAGGTCTATCGCCAGTGTGACTGGGAACATTCGGAACTAGAGTTTGTTCACGACCAGGCCATCACACGAGCCATAGATAGACCTCTAAGGCTACAACTGAACATTACTGGAATCCAGCGTCGCGTGGAGAAGAAAGGAGAAGGTCATGTTTGGGTTCTAAGTAAAACGGAAGTGATGACGCAATGGTGTCGATAAAAGCAGTGCATATTCTAGATCTAGATCAGGGGTAACCTTGTAGCGTCTCGTGAGAGGTCTGTGGCTCTTTTGGAACAGTAAAATGATTTTTTCGTAAAAAAAAATCACTTAAAAAAAAATTAAATCCAATTTGAATTATTATTATAAATATTTGGGAATCATTCGATGGCCAATAGTCTATTCACACAAGGATGTGATCTTCTAGACATGTAGGCTTAGAAGGTATATTTATATTTGTGACAATATAGCCACGCCCAGGAAAGCGGATGTCGATATCTCACGAACACTACACGGCTATTTAATATTACTTTGTTATCGCATATGGACAATACTATAGTTCCATGCATGTTTATCGTAATCAATCATATTTGACCAATAATTTTTGTTTACAAATTTTAAAATGCTAAATTTAGCATTTTAATTTTATAGGGATTAGCACGACACACTAATTTCCTTTGTTGGTTTTTCGATTATAGGATTCTGTGTACAATAAAATACAATTACATTGTCGAAATTCAGTAGAAGTTAAACAATGTCAAGCTCGCTATAGTAACCTGCAATGTTTAAAACTAAATAAACAAACAAGCAAGATATATTTACAATCCTTTTTTTTTTAAAAAACTTATCTTAGGGGAAGAACTCCGCATTTACAACTATATATATCAATAATATAGAGGTTATTTCCCTTTTCGGATATCTAACAAGATAATTAATTACCAATTGACTAATTCTTTTTAATATTGATTCATGTTTTGTTAGGTACAATAAATAATTGTTTAGAGTTTGATCTTTATCCGGTAATGGGTGTAATGTGTACAATTACCTAAAGGGACCAAACCCTACATATTTTGTCATATCTCTGAATACTGAAGGATTTATTTCCCTTGTTGGTATCAAACAAAATAATTAAGTACCAGAACTTAATTGACTAATTGGTTAATTAATTATTTTTTTACTGATTCATGTCTTGCCTATGCCAATGAAAGTGAGAAAAAAGTAAAATTCCTTTTTAGACATTTGCGATCTATAGAGCAGATGATGTTAAGGTCATCTGTTTCTTTGGCCAACGGTTGACGAGCAGGGTGTTATGTAGCCAGCACAACAACCAAACGCTTTTACTTTTCCCAACTAATTTAATCAGGTACCCATTAGAGCTTGGTGGACTCAGAGGCGAACTAAACTCTCAAACTAAACTAAAATGTCAAGGACGCCATATTCAATGTAGATTTCAGGCTGGTAGAAGTAGTCTACACCGGACAGGATTTTTCGTTTTGCGTCAAAAGCAGGGAACAGAACCTGGACTTGAACGCTGCCTGCTTAAATCTCAGCAAAACTTTTTGACACGGTGAGTCACGATGACCTGTAGATGATCTTATTTCCGCTCGGATGCTCTTCAAGATTTATTGCCTTTCTCAAACAACTAGATAAGGGTCAAAAAGGTCAAATCAGGTAGAATGGTGACCTATCAGTTCATTTCTATGTAAAATGTTTGTTTCACATGTTTCGGATGCTTCTTCAGAGTTGAAGATAATTTACTTCCAAGTCCAAAATTTCCGAAGGACGACGGGGGATGGCAGCGGGCACATGATATAATCTCCACTAAATTTTCTTTTATAGCCTTCGTGTACTTATATCCGGCCCTGTATTAGGAGGTACCTTGAGTTTTTGCACACTGTTACATGAGATATAACAGCCTACTGACACCTAAAGACAGAGGCGGCCTTAGCGGTGCGTGGATCCCTTGACCAGTGTCATATATATATCAGTGCTAACATTGTCAAAAGGAGAAACGATTCTATCTATCTTGGGCTCCTCACCACAAAAATCCCTCGCCCAAGGCGCGGACCTTGGGTGGTTGCCTTATTCGCCACCCCTTATAAGGCCGCCTCTGCCCAGCGGGAGAGTGGGGATTTGCTTTTCCCCACGAGGTGACAGTCTGGACACTTAGCCAAGCTATGCCAGTCCCTAATTCAAAGGTAATTTATCGATTTGGGGTTATCGAATTCGCTTTGCGCGGACGCATTGGCGAATAAAATTGACTTTTATGTTAGCATATACTCAAATTACTTCCCTTAATGGGGAAATTTGATATTGCAACATCATCCATATAAAGGTGTGGTCTGTATTAATGCATTTAGTTAACAACAATCTATATACGGCTATAATCGTATGAGCA